TCTGCAACATTCATCTCTTGGGGGTGTCTAACTCGGTGTTACGGTGTGTTTGACCCTAACTTAATTTTACGCCAGAATGTCCCTTTTAAATGGACTGTCTGTGGACACTTAAACCAGTACCTTTCTTGAGATTCTGGGTTTAAACAGGATATCGACTCTTGGGTACCAGAACGGTGTGCAGAGTGCAGTGCTGGAGTCACAGAGAGTTAAGGTCTCTGCAGACCAAGTTAAATGGCTTGCACCTGATCACCTGTACATTAAAATTAAACAGAGGAAAAACTAGATTTAAGATGCTTCCAAAAAAAACAAACAAACTCCTCAGCTGCCTCAAGACCTGACACGCAACCACTTATTTCAGTGAAATGGTAGTAAAAACCTCTTTGCGGTCATCTTGATCCTGTCAATGCGCATGGGCACCCACATGTGCTGGTGTGAATGTTTGACTTTTATCCCACCCTTGTTGAGCAAACACATTTAGAGTGTTCTTATCTCTTTAACCCCTGAGACATTAACTGAAGGCTGCTTTCATAGTTATTATCCTATTCTTGTGGTGTAGGATGTGTTTCTGAGAAGTTAAAATATTTACTCTTAAGTATTTTGCTTTTATTTGGTATATATTTGTAAAAGTAGTAAAAGATTCTTGTGACTTTTTGGGGTTAATTATGCACTTTCAAGAAATTTTGAAAGCATTTTGAGACCCCGTATTTGTTATTTGAACATTTTAGCATGATGTTTTTGTTCTACAAATAAGTGAATAAAGAGCTTATTGCTTTAAATTAGGTTGATCTTCTAGCTTGGAGTTTTACCTGATATAAATTCTGTTTTTTTTTTTTTCAGTGAGTTTGTTGCTTCCACCATGACAGGAACGTTTACTTCACTGAGACTTCTTTGACATTTAAGCGAATGAAGTATGTGATTAAATCTGGCACTAAATACAGGATGAAGACACCTTGATACTATTTCAGGTTCCTCCACTGTACCTTTGCCTTTTTTTGTCTTATTTTAATTTCCACTTCTTTACATCTACCTTCCTCTTTCTCATTATAATTAAATCTTCCCTCTGCCTGTCACCTGATTTTTACACCCCTGTTCAAAGTATCCGGGTCTGAATTATAAATCCACGGACATGAATCCAGACAGGTTATGGTGCTCACTAAGCCAATAAAATAGATCCAGACATAAGTTAAAGAGTAACAAGAACAGGTGATAACCACACTACAGTCTGCCAGATCATACGGCAGACTGAGGAGAAGCATGAGAAAAAGAAGAAACATTTTGTATTTTTCACGATTTATTTTATGCACTTTTAAATTTATTGGCACTAGTCTGAAGCAGCTACTCTGAATCACAATAAACAAAGTAATAACTTTATCTCAGCGCACGAGTAGAAACATAATTTATGGAGATTTTCAAGTTTAAAGGAGGCAATTTGCTCGTGATCTACACTCCACCTTGAGTAAGGTTTGACTTTTTTAGCAGTTATGAAAGAGCAGGAACAACTTTGCCATAACACGTGAGTTGAGGATGAACTATTAGAAACAAAAATGTTAATTATAACAGGCAGTGTTCAAGGGTAAAAGCTTTTATTCATTTCAAATGCTGCAGGCTTCAACCTGAGTTTTATGTGAAAGAAAGATTGTGTTACTTCAGTGTAAAAGGAGGCCATACTATGGATAAAAATGTGAAAAAAATTCAACTGATGTCTCAAAAAAAGGCTAAACTTCAACATGTAGGGGTGTCATGCCACAATTCAACACCCACATACCATATACCGCTCAAGCATGTATTATGCATGAACATCCATTCATGTCTACTCCCTCATGGAGGAAATATCCTGTAATATATCAGCCAACAGGTAATATGCACTCACAAAATAATCAGTGATCGGACATGATCTCTGCTCTGACAGTCATGAATTGTGAATGAAACGCAGAGGTGTGCTCCCCAGAGTTAGATTAGCACACCATTTGTGGGTTGACTCCTTTAAATTGCCCAATCATCCAGGGGGAAGACCTCATCGCTGTGAGAGCATCTCTGGGCTCGTCTTTCACCCCTGCAGCTCCTCCGAGACAGACGGTTAAATTAGAAATCATCGCTCTATATGAGATTGGTAACAGACACTCGCAGAGACGAGCTTCACCTCTGAAATAACAGATACACACCTAAACGTAGGACACCATTACCCAGAGCTTTTGATGCTTTTTTCCATTAATAACATGCAAGTGTATTTAGACTCTGTTATATCCTCTTCTGATAGAGGTTTAACATGGTTTGGTGAAACATTTATGATGGTCTTTATATTGTGATAATGAGGTTTTAGCAAAAATCACGTCACCTGTGTCATTTTCAAGGGCTTTTCTTCTGCAGAGCTCTAGGAGCTCATTAACAATTCACCTCTGAGTTGTGGGCGGAGACAGCACTGCTCTGCACACTTCTCTTCGCGTTAGCATGCAGCCTAACATTGTTGGTGTAGGAGAAGCAACAGGTGCTATTCAGCTTTCACTAATGACTTTAGGGGCATGATAAAAGCTAATATCATAATTAGCTTTCTTACGAGCATTGCAATCTGCTACCGCACACGCTTGTTCCGCGATCATCATGTCTATATCTCTGAGTCTGGCCTGAATAGCGGGGCTCCGGGGGCGGAGCTTGGATTTGCTACGTAGGAAATCTCGCTGTATCTGAACCTGCCGTTTGGGTCTTCCAGAGATTCACAGCGATTCGAATGAGGAAATACTCAGAAATGCAATTTCACACTTAGTTTTCTCATCAAAAAAGTGCCATATGGACATGTACAAAACAAGAAAAACATGATTTTCATTGGAGTGGGTCTTTAAATCAGATCAGTTAAAATGGTTAGCTAACATCTAGTCCACAGCTGCAGTATTAGAAACCTTTCCTATTTAAGTTGCTCAGTAGTTTATTAAATCAAGTCAAACACTAAATAAACAATGGCAGTTCAGATTTGGTTTGGTATTTGTTGTAGTTAAGTTTACATTACTTAACAAAATCTGCAGACATTACAACTTTGCTTTTATAAAAAAATGACACAAGGAAAGTGTATTTCAGGCCAGTGTTCGACCAGCTAATGGTGGTGACAGAGCCACTGTTGATTGGCTTCAAAGTTTGGCACTCTTCATGTGGATCAAAGTTGTTTTTCAATGATCTTTTAGGGCTTTTTCATCTCAATTAGAAAGCTGAAGAGAGACAGGAATTGCAGGGAGTGGAGAATGGGGGAAGTCAAGGCTGGGAATCAAGCCAGTGCTTTGACCACTAAGCCAAAAACATGATTATGGGAATGGTTATTTTCTCATACAGTTAGGCATCAACTTTAAATTGTTTTGTTCAGAAGCAGGATGGTTTGTGTTTTATTGACTTGTTTTTAAAGCTACTGTAAGGAGCTTTCAGTGTAGTGTCAGGCATAAAAAATTACAGTTAAGTCAATGTCAGTCTTTTTGCTGGTGGTCTTGTTTGCTTTTATATAGATATCAGTGTCGATTTCAACCTGTTTGTCACTCAATAAAAAACTCCTTACTGTGGCTTTAATTGTTAATTGTATATAGAGGAGAGCACGCTGCATCAGGCTAGTTTAAGATGCTGTGGGCTGAGGTTTCCATCGGACTGACTGTTCAATGAGAAACAAAGTGAAAAGAAACATTTTTCAAACATTAACATAGCGAGTTATATTTGAAGAGTTTTTGTTCAAGTTTATTGTAAAGTAAAATAAGTCTGTGGGTCTGACCTTGACGTTTCTTTAATCATTAGTTCCATTAAATCCAGAGCTGACTTACATGTCACATTTGCATTTCGAACAGAGCTTTTTCCCTTGTTACATTTAAGTTTCCTTTCATGACATTTCAAACATTTTGTTAAAAAATCAAGGCACTTCCAATACATCCGTCTTGTGGTGTTTTTTAAGGTCTCTACTCACAATAAGGAAATCAAACCATTTATTTGCGGCTCACAATGTTGCTGCTTGAATAGGACCTTCAAACACGTGGCCTTCCTACCTGCAGCTGCCTTATATACTTACTCTTTGCTCTGTATCCCATGGCAATTGTGTTTCAGAAACTTGCAGTGTCCACACATGTTCTTTTTGCTGTTATCCTGTTTTAACTTCTCCTACCTTCATGGTGGAAATGGCTTCAAAATTAAACCAACAAGGACACTCACTTCTTAGGTTATGTGAGGTAGAGCAATAGGGAAGTGGAGATAAAAATAATTTTTTAGGCCCGATCCATCTGATGATAACGGTAGTTTCCTTTACTGTTACCATAGCAACCGGAACAGGAAGGAAATGGACTTGTTGCCGAGCTCAGCAAAACCGGCTGAACCACTAACACAAGGGATTACAGCCCTGGAGAGACCCAAGTGTGTGTTTGTGGTTTATCAAAAGACTACGCAACTTTTAAAGATACTATCATGTCACGGTCTGTCAGCTCTTATCAACACTCTGTGGACTCTAGCCACAATTTTATCTGACCCCATTAGATTATCTATCAGTTTACGTAATCAGCCGCTGGAAAACTCCCTCTGACCTAAACTGACCTCAGCTGAGCCCAACCTGACTGTTCATCTGTGAACGTCAGACTGTGCTTTAATTGTAGAAGAAGCCAGCTGGATGACATGGTGAATCAGGCCCCCTTCACAAAAGGAGGGTCCTTGAGCACGTAAAAGGCTGTTTGTGCGCAGGTGTCGTGACTCTGTCTCAAAGGCTTGGCTTTGATCTCACTGTAATGATTTAGCTTGAATAAAGAATCATTTATTTAGTATGAAAATATCTTTTCATCATATTCACCTGTTAAAACCGCCTTCACGCATGCACTCATGACAGAGGTTTGATAAACTCAAGTTTTGTCATCATATGGCTTTCAATCTAACTGGTGTATCTGCATATATTTGAGGATGTTGTGCATCCCTGCAAACAAACAGAATGAGTGTCAACATAACTGTCTTGATAATATATATATATATATATATATATATATATATATATATATATATATATACACTCACCGGCCACTTTATTAGGTATACCTGTCCAACTGCTTGTTAACACTTAATTTCTAATCAGCCAATCACATGGCGGCAACTTAGTGCATTTAGGCATGTAGACATGGTCAAGACAATCTCCTGCAGTTCAAACCGAGCATCAGTATGGGGAAGAAAGGTGATTTGAGTGACTTTGAACGTGGCATGGTTGTTGGTGCCAGAAGGGCTGGTCTGAGTATTTCAGAAACTGCTGATCTACTGGGATTTTCACGCACAACCATCTCTGGGGTTTACAGAGAATGGTCCGAAAAAGAAAAAATATCCAGTGAGCGGCAGTTCTGTGGGCGGAAATGCCTTGTTGATGCCAGAGGTCAGAGGAGAATGGCCAGACTGGTTCGAGCTGATGGAAAGGCAACAGTGACTCAAATAACCACCCGTTACAACCAAGGTAGGTAGAAGAGCATCTCTGAACGCACAGTACGTCGAACTTTGAGGCAGATGGGCTACAGCAGCAGAAGACCACACCGGGTGCCACTCCTTTCAGCTAAGAACAGGAAACTGAGGCTACAATTTGCACAAGCTCATCGAAATTGGACAATAGAAGATTGGAAAAACGTTGCCTGGTCTGATGAGTCTCGATTTCTGCTGCGACATTCGGATGGTAGGGTCAGAATTTGGCGTCAACAACATGAAAGCATGGATCCATCCTGCCTTGTATCAACGGTTCAGGCTGGTGGTGGTGGTGTCATGGTGTGGGGAATATTTTCTTGGCACTCTTTGGGCCCCTTGGTACCAATTGAGCATCGTTGCAACGCCACAGCCTACCTGAGTATTGTTGCTGACCATGTCCATCCCTTTATGACCACAATGTACCCAACTTCTGATGGCTACTTTCAGCAGGATAATGCGCCATGTCATAAAGCTGGAATCATCTCAGACTGGTTTCTTGAACATGACAATGAGTTCACTGTACTCAAATGGCCTCCACAGTCACCAGATCTCAATCCAATAGAGCATCTTTGGGATGTGGTGGAACAGGAGATTCGCATCATGGATGTGCAGCCGACAAATCTGCGGCAACTGTGTGATGCCATCATGTCAATATGGACCAAGCTCTCTGAGGAATGCTTCCAGCACCTTGTTGAATCTATGCCACGAAGAATTGAGGCAGTTCTGAAGGCAAAAGGGGGTCCAACCCGTTACTAGCATGGTGTACCTAATAAAGTGGCCGGTGAGTGTATATAGCATGCCAAAAAAAAGTGGTCTCCTATGGTTCACTGTGTATGGGGCAAGTTGACCAAAGGAGCGGGGTAAGTTGAGCCGTATCCCTACTAACCCCCCAACTCTTCCCCCCAGCCCTTACTCACCTTCTCTCTCACTTCCTCACATTCATGTGTATTTTTATCTATTATACATTATTCAACAGGTACAATAATTCTTTTTATTATTATTATTGCATATAACAGCTAAAAAGCTGTTTTGTAAAAAGCCATTTTAACATGAGAATGTGATTAAGTGATTCAGAACATTCACAGCTGTGTTATTGGAAAGAAAAAGTAACACATTTCAACAATCTGAACACTCAGATCCTCTCATCAGACTCCTTTACTTTCTCAGTTACCCCAGAACTTCTAATGACTTTATTAGTCCTCTAAGTTAAAATGGTGTACACAATTCTAATCAAACGTATGACAGACTAAATTCACTTTCAAGAGTAAAACGTTTTTGTTTTTTTTGTTTTTAAAAAAAATAAATGTCTAACACCCTCACCGATGTGCATCTAACCTGAAATGCAGGTTGTTGATTACGGTACAGGTGGTGGATCTACATGAGCGCACTAGTTGAGTTCAAGGTGAGGTTTTTACAGTGGAAATAGATATTATACTGTGTTTTAACAATGTTTATATTCTTATTTACAATAAATTTGTATTTATTCATAAAGTGTGAAATGTTTAATATAAGTCATAATATGAATGTTAAATGGGCACATCACGTGTATCTTGAAATTTACTATCACTCTAGGAATTCGCGATCTTAACGCAAATTCACCCAATCACCGCGTATTTATTGAGGCGCTGCAATTTCGTCCAATCACCGCGAATTTCCCGCAAATGTGACCAATTAGCCGTCTTTTGCCCACGCCTCTACGTGATATGTACGTCATCATATTCACTTCCTTGTTTACATTGAGAAGACGAAGACGTTCGGCGCTAAACGCGCACATTTACCTACAAATATCGCGGCCAAGGGTTCGTACGGGACAATTTCCAGATCGATTGTGGTGTAACACGGATGTAAGTCGTCGCTCGACGGACACTTTTTAACCGCAAAACACGCGAGAAGAAGAGCTGAAACTCAGAGAGGACAGACGAGACAAGTCACAATGACAGAGGCTGATGGACCCAGAACAAAACCAGTGACTGAGAGGATCAAGGTAAGCGCGGATAAACTCTTTAAAGCAAGATAAGTGAAGAATAAAAAACCTGTGGATGGAGGCGTTCATTTGTGAATCATCGTGTTTGTGTATGTTTGTGAGAGAGAGAGAGAGGGAGTGCGAGCGTGAGTTTGTGTAAACTCACAAATGAAAATAGTAATTTAACTTGGTGTTTATATTCATGCTTGCTCTATATTGTAAGATAAAATGCAACCAAGTTTGGCTGCCCTGTGTGCCGGTGTTCTGTAAATCCATCCCACCCGTCGAGATGCCCTACCATGCCTCACTGCGCATGCGCACAAATCCAAAACGTAATTTCGCGTGCTTTGTCATAGATACACCCTACCGATCAGCTATTAATTGAGGAAAGCAGTAAGGTGTTAGCGTTTCCTCTTAAAATATAACACAATATCTTTTACTAACCTTACACATCAGTACTCAGTACACTATCAGGTTGATTCTTTACCAGAGCACTGTCAGTAATTGAAAAACTGCTGATTCCTCCAAAAATATGTATCCATCTTCAACAACCAGTGGTTGACTTTCATACTGTGTCTCGTCTTTCTCTTTAGTCTGTTCTCTGAAAGTCCTGATTGAATAGTATAAGACAATCTGCTGTGATTGGGTTGAATCGATCATGATCGTAACCCTTCTTCCCTTATCTTTGAGATTTTCTCCATCCATCCTTGATATCAACTTTCCACTCACTGTCATATTTCATCACATCATCAGTAACAAGTGTTTTCAGCTGTATTGCCGTGCTTAAACTGTGACATCTGTGCTGCACTTGTATTTAAGTTCTTGCATTACAAGTGCATCAGAGTGCAAAATCTGTTTTTGTGAGTGAGAATATGTTTAGAGTTTTAACTTGGAGAAAGTGTTTCAGGTTTTTTCTGCCAAGGCTCTAGTGTAACCTCCCCTACCCACTCACTCACATGCTTCCAATTCCCCTAAGCATCCTTGTTGTGCACCACCGGCGTGAGGTTTGCAGCTGTTAAGTTCCCCAGTTTTGGTCTCCTCTGCCTGATCCACCTGGTTGAATTTGTGTTTTAACTTCATCTGACTGAGCTGGCCTAGTTTGACTGTCTACCTGATTTTGAACCTTGCCTGTTTACGACCTTATTTAACATGAACTCTTATTCTACCCTGACTCCCTTTGTATCTCTCTTTTTGGGTTCAAGCCCAGTGTTTTAGCGAGCGATTGCAGTAATTAACATGTATTTGTGGTCTTAAAGGGAATTTTGTGTAGCAGATGCTGTAGGGCTTTCGCATTGACAGTCAGGGAGAGTTTAATAAGCCTTGCTAACTCTAGTTTGAGGGTTAAAAAGAGTTCAGAGCCTCCACTCAAGAAGCGAATAAAGATTTAGAGAGCTACTGTTTAATCCTTTCACAAGCCCTTCATCCTGATGTGCTGAAACTGAGAAAGCCATCCTACTTTAGCCCAAATTTAGAGACTCCAGGCACACTGTATAAAGGCTTGAACTACATTTAGTTTTCCTACATGTTGCTAAGGGATTCCCAGCAGTGGAGACTTACATATAACTAGTGAACGATGCATACTGGTACAACGAATTCCCTCATTTTGATTTTACTCCTGTTTCCTCCACAGTCCCTCACAGATAGAAACGCAGCTGTTCGAGTTTCATGCATTTTCCTTTTCTCTCTACTTCTTTGTAAAATTTCACTCCTCAGATGAGAGCAGAAACCGGGCCATGCGCCTGTTGCACTCACACCTCCAGCGTCAGAAATAGAGAGATGAATAGATTCTGCTTTACAACAGAACTCGGAGTCATGATCACACTGACAGAAAGGCCGACCTAGAGCTGTGTCCTCCACACACACTCACTGAAGGCTGTTTATTCATAGAGCCGTTTTAAAATAGCAGCTTGGATGAAAAGAAAGAAACATAGTATTGCGTAACCAGCGCTATCTCTTTCAGCTCTGCTTGCCAAAACAGTCATACAATATGAAGATGGCTGTTTAATTATATAATTATAGGATTTATTTTATCTGTATGAATGAAGTAGCAAAATAATTTAAAGGTGCATACCAACCAGTTTAAGAATGGCAAACATGTTACGAGATGACACAAAGTCTGCCCAGAACATGTGTGTTAAGACTGATGAACAGATGATATAGCCTCCTTTACTCGGTGTTGCCAATCTGTTCTGTATAACATCAGGAAGATCAGACCCTACCTTATAAAGATTGCATGGAGGATGTCCCATTTCGAAAGCACTACGGGACGCTGCTGGAAAATGTGCCCACTTTTCTCGGGTCGCAGAGGATGCACCCAGTGCCTCTGTCAGGGCTTAATTTCTTTAGTGGTTCTTTGCACGTCAAACAAGGTGACAGACACAAGTAGCTAAGTGTTACACTGGTCCGTGTACTTAGCGGCCAACAGAATTTTATTTTCCATTGAAAAATCAAAAAGCGGGAGACGGGCTGTCATAATCATAAAAATCGGGGAAATAAAAAAAAACAACTCTGTATTTTAATTTCTGTGATGTGGCTCGAAATCGAAGACCAAAATATGTGCGTGGAAATCTTGTGTTTCTAGTTTTATTCACGTTTTTGTTGTGACTTGGCGCAAGACTTTGGCTCTTGTTAGCATAACTATATATATAGAAGACTAGATACGCCAGATTGCTGTAGCAGCCCACTTAGCGACGTACCTACATGGCAGCCATCTTGACGGGGGCACTCACTTCAAAGTTTCACTCCAAGTCACAACACAAGATTTTCACTCACTAATTTTGATCTTTGATATTCATTAAAAGCCACATCAAAGAAAGTCAAACACTTGTCTGTTTTTTTGTCATTCTCTGATCTTTATGATCAAAATGGAAAATGGTTTGTTTTCTGTTTTTCGTCTCCCGATTCCATACTGGTCATCGGGAGACGACTCGTTGGTCTCCCAATTTTCGTTTTTTCGTTTAAAAACAAAAATCAAGTACAGCCGCCAAGTACACGGACCTACACTATCCAGCATTTCGTTTCAACTTGATGGGACAGAAGAGGATTACAAATCCTGAAAAAGGCTGATCCCTTAAAGCTTGTAGTTACTTTCAAGATTATGATAATGGTGGTTAAGTTTAGTGACGTGTTACCTTTGTGAGGTTGTCATCCAGCTATTGAATGTTGGAGTAGATCAATGCAATGCAAGTGTAAGAGCAAGAGCAACTGGTTCAGACCGTTCAGCTGAAGTGATCTATGAAGGCCATAAAAGCCGGATCTTTCATCCTTTCCCGGATCTTACCGCTGTTGACTTCTGCAACTCCTTACTGGCAGTCCTCCACACATACAGACTCAAACTGCTGGAGGTGATCAAGAATACAGCAGCAAAACCCTGCTTCTTGCTGACAAAAAAACAACCCTCTTGCATCCCTTCGCTACCTTAACTTGACTAAGATTGTCTTGTAGTAAGACCCCCGAATCTATAGACACAATCTATTAAGCAGCCAGTCGGTAAATTGTAAAGAGAAGAGGCTCCATTTCATTTTCAGAGTAATGAACAGTAAGAGGCAAAAGAGGCTGAATGATGAGTGCATATTAATTCCATTCCTGGCATAACAAACGGTGGCTTTGTTACTCAGACTAAGTAAACGTGTGCAGACTGCATGTCAAGTGCTTTATTACCGCGGAGAACACGCGTTATGGTATCAGCGTGGATGAGAGCTCTCTGGGGGATTCAAAATAATCATGAATGTTCTTCCCTCGGCGTAATCTCATTATGTGCTCACAGGGTGTTCTTGTATCATTCAGATACTTTTAATTGTCTCCGAAGCTAATGCAACTGATGTTTTTTTTTTCTTTCTGCTATGCATTTCGTCTCCCTCTCCTCTCTGTCCTTCTTTCTTCTCATTTGTTCCTCTCTCTCTGCTCGTCTCTTTACTTTTGTCAGTCCCTCCTCATTAGTGTCTATTATCTGTGAGGAGAGCTGAAGAATCAACGAGTCATTTCCTGCAGTCGACACAAGCCACAGTGTGAGTGTGAGTGTTAGAGTATGGGTGTGTGTTTGTGTGCCTGAGCTACTAATGATCTACAAATCCCCTGGTCGTGTTGTGGCCCCAGCTCTGTGTCACTGCTACTTATTGGCAAACAAGGATCTGGGCTTAACGGCACAGTGGATGAGATGTCTGCGACTGTATGTGTGATTGCGCGCGTGCACGCACTCACACAAACGCAGGCACACATGCACACAGATTAGTTTCTATCATCACACTGAGTGGAATCCCTTTAAGCAGATGAGGGATTCTGGTGTTGGCTCCGTAAATTACACCTGCTAAATATATCCTACTGGAAGAAAAACTTTTAACAACCACGACCAAGAGTTTGAAAATGAAGATAGCCTCAGATCAGTCAGTCTGGAAACAAGACGACATTGAAAAGTGCTGCATTTAACATTTTGCTCTTTTTTTGTCTCTCTAATGTCACACCTGAAGAACATCCTCACTTAGAGGTCACTAACCCTATAAGCTACAAGAAAGAAAAAGGCCAGTCATCAGATAAACTCAACTTTTTCACTTATTCTTACATTTTACTGCTGAGTTGTTAAAACTTTCACCTCTGTCATCACTCTTTCTTAAGCTGATCTCAACTGCTTTCAACAGAGATGCTGAAGCTAAACCTCCTCTTAAGAAACACGCTGCCTTTTGACAAAATCCTCGATCAGAGGCTGAATGTGGTATATACACTCACCGGCCACTTTATTAGGTACACCTGTCCAACTGCTCGTTAACACTTAATTTCTAATCAGCCAATCACATGGCGGCAACTTAGTGCATTTAGGCATGTAGACATGGTCAAGACAATCTCCTGCAGTTCAAACCGAGCATCAGTATGGGGAAGAAAGGTGATTTGAGTTACTTTGAACGTGGCATGGTTGTTGGTGACAGAATGGCTGGTCTGAGTATTTCAGAAACTGCTGATCTACCGGGATTTTCACGCACAACCATCTCTAGGGTTTACAGAGAATGGTCCGAAAAAGAAAAAATATCCAGTGAGCGGCAGTTCTGTGGGCGGAAATGCCTTGTTGATGCCAGAGGTCAGAGGAGAATGGCCAGACTGGTTCGAGCTGATAGAAAGGCAACAGTGACTCAAATAACCACCCATTACAACCAAGGTAGGCAGAAGAGCATCTCTGAACGCACAGTACGTCGAACTTTGAGGCAGATGGGCTACAGCAGCAGAAGACCACACCGGGTGCCACTCCTTTCAGCTAAGAACAGGAAACTGAGGCTACAATTTGCACAAGCTCATCGAAATTGGACAATAGAAGATTGGAAAAACGTTGCCTGGTCTGATGAGTCTCGATTTCTGCTGCGACATTCGGATGGTAGGGTCAGAATTTGGCGTCAACAACATGAAAGCATGGATCCATCCTGCCTTGTATCAACGGTTCAGGCTGGTGGTGGTGGTGTCATGGTGTGGGGAATATTTTCTTGGCACTCTTTGGGCCCCTTGGTACCAATTGAGCATCGTTGCAACGCCACAGCCTACCTGAGTATTGTTGCTGACCATGTCCATCCCTTTATGACCACAATGTACCCAACTTCTGATGGCTACTTTCAGCAGGATAATGCGCCATGTCATAAAGCTGGAATCATCTCAGACTGGTTTCTTGAACATGACAATGAGTTCACTGTACTCAAATGGCCTCCACAGTCACCAGATCTCAATCTAATAGAGCATCTTTGGGATGTGGTGGAACGGGATCATGGATGCATCATGGATGTGCAGCCGTCAAATCTGCGGCAACTGTGTGATGCCATCATGTCAATATGGACCAAGCTCTCTGAGGAATGCTTCCAGCACCTTGTTGAATCTATGCCACGAAGAATTGAGGCAGTTCTGAAGGCAAAAGGGGGTCCAACCCGTTACTAGCATGGTGTACCTAATAAAGTGGCCGGTGAGTGTATGTCAACGGTGCATGTCATCTCTTTCTTCCTGAGCTATTTTCAGTTCCATGGTAGCTTTTGTTTTTTCACTTTAGCACGTCTTTGAACTTTGGCTGCTGGATGGTCGTAAACTTTTAGTTCTGAACCCTCTTCAATTTTAAGATAGTTTGCTTTACTTGTCAAAAGATATAATGGAAACTGAGAGAGAACCCTGCATGTTGAAAATATTGTTTTGTCATAACTTAACCCAAATTGAGATAACCAGACCTCTGAGATTGTCCTAATTTGTGCTGCATAGTGTCTAGTGTTAAATAATCTGTGTATAATTTGTTCATTTGATTTTCAAAATAAAACCAAAAATGAAAAAACGAGAAGATGTATTGTTTTCTAAGTATTTGGCAGTTTTATCTGATTTAGACTTTTTCGTTTGTAGAAGGTTTCGTGACCCGGAAGTGAACCTTACTCAGACATCAAGAGAACAAGAAACAGGCTTTGGCGTTATGGCTGGACTCGAGAACTATTCAGAACTCATACAGAATGTATCAGACTCTGATATGTGTCCTTTTGGGCACAGAACCTTCTGAAGGACATTTCAGAACACCTCAGCACTCCTGCAGCGCGGTGGAAATCTCTGCACAAGTTTTACCATCCTGAAAAAAGTGCTGTATGAGCTCTGAAGTCCAGCCATAACGCCAAAGCCCGTTTCTTGACGCCTGAGTAAGGTTCACTTCCCAGTCAGGAAACTTTCTACAGACGGAAAAGTCTTAATCAGATAAAACTGTCGTTATCCATTTATCCCATTGTCATTTGAGCTGAAGAAAACAGAAATTGGAAAATTAGCTGTTATCTGTTTTTTTTTCATTTTCATTTTAGAGACGAATATTAGAAAACAACTTGTTTTTTCATTTTTGGTTTTATTTTGAAAAGCGTTTAAACGAATGATACATGAATTTAAATAAACCGACTTTGGTCCTTGTTTACCCAAATAGTCCTGTTGTGTAACAAAAGTTGAACTCGCAAAGAAATTTTTTTTTTTTTTTGGTAATGATTATGCAAAGCAAAACACATGTATTTCAGTTATTAACATATGTTTTTTAATTTTATTTTTTATTTTTTTGATGATTATGATACCAACTCTGTCTCACTGTGTTAGCGACGGCATGTGACAGGGTCAACTCCAGCCTGCTCCGACGCTCTCCCCGCTAACAAGCCACACACTTTTGACGGACACATATGGTGGGCTAAAACAGATCATTATCGAGGATTTTTTTAGCAGGAAGAGGAGAGGAAAAGAGAATAGATCTGCTCTTTTCTTACTGTTTTATTTTTTTCTTGCTTCAATTTCAACCTCTGCTTTCTTCAACCTCTTCCATTAAACCCACCTCACCTTTTCAGCCCTCGGTTTTTACACTACAGCTCTCGAAGAAGCTCAGTGAAGTTTCATGAATTGTTGTGGTAGTTTTTCCCATCAGGCTGTGACCCAACAGTCTTTATGTAAAACATTTATTTCAGTTTTCCTCTGAGTGTTAAGCATGTTTTTTTTGGTTTGAGTTAGTTTGGTTAACATCTCTGTGTGTGTTTTGAGACTGCTCTGTCTGTAGCGTGCAGCTTTAGTTGAGCGGACAGTTTGTCAGTCAGTCCAACCGTCCGTCTGTGACAAACTCTGGCTGTGGGAAAGTCTTGGCCTGTCCTTGGCACAGAGCAACAGATTCCACCATGTGATCAGAGGTGACAGATTCCCAACATATCAGACGTGGACTCGGGTGTCTACGTCTGCTTCCTCCCCTCACAGACAAGCACACACACACACACACACACACACACACACACACACACACACACACACACACACATATACACTCTGACATCTAAACCCCAGTGTCCGTTCTGCCTTCCTGTCCGGTGTTCAGGGCCGGTGGCTCAGTCCGTGTCCACACAGCTGCCAGTCGTCTCAGGTTGCAGCCTGAAAATAGAAGCTTTGACCGTTAACATCCAACATGCTAACCACCAAACTTCCTGTTAAAGCAATGACAGATGTATAAGGTTACAGAGTGAAGGAATCAACAGTTTACGGTCAAACAATGGGACAGAATAGAAAATGTTTACATGAACATCTGCGAAGGATATTTTCAATATAGCCAAAAGGGATCCTGGTTGGCCTCATGGTTGAGAAAACTACTCAAGAACCCTGAAATAAAAAGTGAGAAACTGGAATCCCAGTAACATGAGTATTTTTATCTGTGACATGTGCCCTTCAGCTTTCTTCAGACTTTCTCATTACCTGAACACCACACACACCTGCGCCCTATTACCTCCACAATCCCACAGTCTGTGGATCAGACTCTCAGCTGTTATTGCCTTGCTGGAAAAGCCAGTCTACTTGCTCCTGTCTGTCTTTCCTAAAATCTTTTTTATATTTCTTTTCCAGGGAAGTTCACTTAGTAGAGATGTGTTTTGGGGATTTGAAAAGGGCCTTGGATCTTGACCCTCTGAAGGGCTTTGTCAGGGGTACTGAGGGAATATGGGTTAGGCCACTGCTGTGAGCCGCCATGTGTGACCAAAGTGAGAGCTTTGCCTGCATACTTGATACAAAGTCAGACACATTTCTGGTGTCTCCTTCAGGGTTGCCCCTTGTCCTTGATTCTGTTTGTGTCTCATGGACAGGGTCTTCAGGCAAAGCAGGAAGGAGCGTTTCTGGTTTGGGGGCCTTTAGAGTTTTCTCTTTGTTGTTTGCAGATAGTGTGGTCCTGAGGGCTTTTCCAGCCCTGGGACTTGCAGCGAGCGTCATGGCAGTTTGTAGCCCAGCACAAAGCAGTTTGGATGCAGATTTTGATAGAACTCTTGCGATCCGCTGCGGAACAGAAAGAGGCCGGGGAAATTGACACATTAACTTGAGTGGTTACGATCAGCTACGATCGGCAGATGTGGCCTTTTCATAGCCCTTCTGGATGCGGTGGAAATTGGGGGTTAAGGGGACATGAAACCATAGCCTACCTACACACATCCAAAACCAACTTTGTTTATTTTTTTGACACCAAATATAATGACATGGGCAAAATAACTTTGGTTATTGTCGTGAATTTCGGTATTGGTAAATTTTCGGTTTATCACCCAGCCCTAGGTCTAGATATGAAATACAGCCTCTTCCTTCAAAACTGCTACCATAGCAGATTCAACTGATATGTTGAAGCTGTGATCCTGCTTGGTCATCAAATAAAGGATTGTGATTGGCACTGAGGGAAACATTTACAATGGCAGCAGTGTTAGACCCACATGCTAGCAAAAATGAAAAAAAGCAATGCCAGACTATTGTGACTGTCAGTTTTAAAGGTTTTAAAAAACGATACGACTGATAAGAGTCCAAATCTTGCTCTGTGTTGGAATGCATTCCTGAGGTATTACATTTCCCAAACTGAAGTTACGAAGCAGACACTTATTCCCAAAAGTCAGTTTTTTAGGGTGAATCAGGGGGGAGAGGATGAGTAATTTTGAGTCAGAGCGGTCAGAGTGATTTTCAGTCTGGGGCTGTATGGAAAAGAGGCTCTTATCTGGTGAGTAGGTGTTCATAAGGCCTATTTCTGGTTGGGGTGCCGACAGACAAGCTTGAGTGTTTCCTCTGTTTCCTGATGCACGCACACACAAAGTCACACTGTTAACTCACACAATCACCACGGGCACACACCGGGATTGACACACACTCACTCACTCAACGCACACACACCCGTGATGCCGCAAAGCACTCATGAAATCCTCACAAATCAACACTCAACACGATCTGGGAGAGGGTGAAGTGTGACAACACATGCATGCACAAACACACACAAACACACACATACACAGAGCTCAATATTCTGTCACCCTGTCACTATAGCAACTGGGGCACAGCAAAAACCAGTGTGCTTAAGTGTGAGTGTGTTAATGTGTGAGAGAGTAAGAGCCTGCATGTGTGCACACATTTGTTTGTGTATATAAGCATGTGTTGGTGTTCAGTCCTGTGTGTGTGTTTGGCAGTGATGTTGGGATTAATCTCTGTGGATATATAGTGACTTCTCACCTCTCTCTAAGCCTGTGAAGGAGATTTTCAAGAGGGGTTTGATTAGATATCCACGCTGGAGTTGCTGTGGGAATCCTTTGATCCCACATGTATAAAGAGGAAGGTTTGTAAGAGCTGCTCTTCCTCACAGGTGATGTTGAATGTGTCTCAAAGGTAAAGGCTCTTAACCTTTCATAAATATGAATTCAATTGACGAGGGCCTTGAATTTCGATAAGTACTGACTGAACCCTGTTACGTTTTGTTGATAGCATTTTAAGTGAGTCGGTCGTATGTTTATCTTGCTGTTCAAACTCTTGCTCTTTGGTTCCACGGCGCACGTGCACACGGCAGATGGTGTTCGGTAAAATAGTTGACAGTTTGACAGTGCGTGCCATACGCCATCATGAGAGTCGAAGCATAGCCAGGGCAGGTTAATTTGCAAGTTTATAAGGTCACAGAAGGCCCATCGTACTGGTATTGCCAATAGATATTTGACATATTGATATTTTGCTGTAAATAAACATACAGTAAAACCTGCAAGTAGCAAGGGATTAGAGTGGTTCTTTACACTGGCTGCTTTACAGCTGTAAGGTCTCATGTCTCTTGCAAATGAATTGATCATTTATATATTGTAAACCCTCCTTTTAACCATTTTCATTCACTTATGTAACTTATAATCGACCAGAATGAGTATGTATTTGAATTTCAAAATAAAAGCCCTCCTTTTAACTGTTTTCATCCACGTATGTAACTTATGCTGCATTCCAGTTGTACTCGTAAGTTGGGATTTCTGAGCTCCGAGTCAGAATTTCATCTGGAATGCCCCCCTGAAGTCGGATTTCCGCACCAACCCCGACTTGACAACAATGTCATAATCCAAAATGGCAGCACAGTGCATCAACAGTAAAGAGTAACAGTAAAAGCTCTCATAATGTTTTATTTATTAGCACTTCTGTTTTGTTTTGTGTTTGTAAGAGTAAAGTACTGTGTTGTTAGTTGTCGTTAGCTATACCAGTTGTAAACAACGCACAACAACTGACTACGGCTAACAACAACTGACAATTGTAAACAACAGCTATTGACGGCTAACAGTAGGCGTCCATCTTGGTTCTCCGACTTGTTTACTGGAACGCCGTCAACTCGGGTGTGACATCGGTTCCAAGGTAACTTGAACGCAGCATTATAATCAACCAGAATAAGTATGTATTTCAATTTCAAAATAATAGCCTGTTTTTACAGTGGAGGCAGGGTGGTAAAATGTCAAAATAAAATCATTGAAAACAGTTTTATGAGACGATCTGTTCTTGAAAGATATTTCTGTCTCAGGAATGGGGATGCAGATAAAATGTAATTTTAAACATGATTGGAGATAGATGATAATTTGTTTAAGTCTGTTGTGTGTTTTTCTGTAAAGTTTGTGAAATACCATGTCGTACAGACTCCATGATTCTGGAGTTGTTTCTTTGCATTTAGTTTGTTTTGATTTACTCAGCCTGGATCAGAATCACTGTTAGCGTGATGACTGAAGTATTAGCTCATGACCTCACTGTGTGTATAAAACCTCACATCTACTAGCTAGGCTAACGTCTCTTGTTACAACATCCAGGAGTGTAATTTTACATTCACCTTCTCCCTCTTGAATTACTTTATTTTTTTTTCTTAACGTCCATTAGCAGGACTTCCCAGGATCGTTTAAAAGTGGTCCTAAGTGGACCTGCCAGGCTTTCAACAAGGTGCTCTAAAAGGTCTCACATTACACCCACTGACACCCTTGGAGCTGTTCTGACCATGAGAAGAGATGGAAATGGGGTTATGCCTCTCAGCTTCACCTATAGATTCAAAAAGCTTTTCTCCATAGACCATCTCATTGTGTATACCGGGCAAAAACCCACATTCTTTTAGATGCAAAAAACAAGTGGACAAACCCCCTGCTGTGCTGTATTTCTATGTTGTTTTAGAGATTATTTATTCTTTGGCTCCTTTTTGTTTTAAAGTAATACGTTTAAGTGCAGTTAATAGCTTTTATCTACACAAAAAATCTGTTTGTGTGTTAGTTTTTTGCTCAAATTTGGTACTTTTTTGAGATTTCAAATAACACCATGTCTGATTTTACTCTGTAGTATCCTCCTTGACTCTAGTAGACTGTCTGTAGACTGTCTGCCTGCCTGTTCACCTCAGACAGTAAGGATATCCAGCAGGTCGGATGTGCCCGGATCATTAAAATTAAAATGGGTGAGAGTGCTGGGTTACATGGGTCTCCCCCAGCTTCATTAATAATCCATCAGAGACCAGTTCACCTCCAGACAGAAGAATACTAACTAACATCTAACTCTCTCCATTCATAGACTCTCCCTGTCTGAGCATGTGCGAGCCTCATATATCATCATGTATGTATGGTATACCTTTTACATCTGTGTGTGTGTGTATTTGTGTGTGCGTGCGTGTGTTTTAAATGACCTCCAGACAAGACGTCCTGTCCTGTCTGGAGGTCAGCCGGTAGCGGTGAGGATGTCTTGCTTTCATCATCTAATAGGTCTGCTAAATTTATGAGAAACTCTTGTCCTAGTCAGCAAAAGTTCAGCGTGATGATGCTTATTAATACTCAACAGTTGGTAATAATATCCCTCTAATGGGTCATAGGTTTGAGTTTTGCTATAAGACTGATTTACACACACACACACACACAGAGTGGTGTAGTTACCTCTAAATGAAGCCACTTAAATTGATACCAACATCACTGTGATGCAGGGGTAATGCAATGTCCTCTTGGCTGAATAAGACCCTCACTTTGTTTAATATACAGTATGACGAGTCCGTGTCTGTGTTTACCTCCTGAAACCATCTCATGCAGCAAGAAAGTACTTAAATAGAAAAAATAGATTTAGTAGCTCAGAAAGTAGAGTAGTCGTCAAATAACTGGAAGGTCGGTGGTTCGATTCCCCCCTATCCCCAGTTTGTCTGTTGTGTCTTTGGGCGAGACACTTAACCCATCTTGCTCACGATTCCGTCATTCTGCACCAGGGCAGCTGTGATTACTACGGTAGTTTACCACCATCAGAGTGTGACTGTGTGAGCGAATGAATGATGTAACTAATGTAAAGCGCTTTGAGGGATCTCTGATAAAGGGCTATAAAATCTGATGCTTTATTATTATTATTATTATTATTATTATAAACTAAATACATACACACGTACCTCAATTCTTGTAACCATGCCTAGGAGAAATTTAGTTTGCTCCAGTATGTGTTTTATAAAAAGCTATGAGCCAAAAAGTACCAGGATGTTCCTCCATCTCCAATTGTATTTTGCAGTATGACAGTTAACATGCTAATTTGCTTTTCATAAGATTCACCACATCAACTAACAGATGTAATTGCACTTCATGCAAAGTTGGTACCTTATAAAGGTAGATGCAGTATGTACTGTAATGAAAGAAAACCTGATCAACAAACTTGTAATAGTAAAAACGCCTCACTTGCTTGAATTGGGATGATGCACTTAAATACTTCCTTAAAGTGTGTAATTAATGAGGGTTGACCTGTGTGTTGTAAATGAGTCGTCCATTCAGAAGAAAAAAGTTAAAAAGTTGAAGAAAAAAAACCTTTTTGAATGACTTTGACTTTAAAGAGTTTAAGAAACAGTTTAAAAAACCAAATCAAGTCAAGAAGAAAAAGACAAAGAAACCACGCAAAAACAAGCGGCTCAGCTCAACAGAACTGTATTAATGCTTTTCAGTTATTTACAGATATTTACAGTTTTTGTATTTACAAAGAGGTGGGGGGATAAGGGAAGGAAAGGTGGGGAAGGGTTGAAGGGGTAAGGGTTGGAAGATGGAAGGAAGTGGGGGTTAAGGTTAGGAGGGAGGTAAGGAGGGAAGTTAGGAGGGGAGATAGGAAGTGGGGTTAGGAAGGAGGTTAGGGGGGAAGTTGGGAAGGGAGTTAGGAAAGGGAGGTATGGAGGGAGGTTAAGGTAAGGCAGGGGATTAGGAAGGTGGGTAGAGGGGTTTGTTGACGGTTTTTTTCTTCACCGTCGTCCTCTTTTCTTTTTCCTCTTTTCATTGAGCTTGTTCTTCTCGTGCTCGCTCTGCTCCTTCTGTATCTTCTCCTCATCTGACAGTTTTTCAGTCTGATTCCCCTTGTATTTATCAACTATCTTCTCCTCATCTTCTTTTTTTATCTTCTCCTCCTCCTTTAGGTGTCTCTTCTCCTCCTGGAGGAGCTGAGAAAGAAATGGTGTGTTAGTTGATTTAACAGAAACCTTAAAATATTCTCTAGAGAATCAAAGAAGTGATTATTTTGATGATCTGTGATATATCTGAGTTCTCAAGTACCTGCAGATTGACAGTCTGGTCATGGAGACACTTCTGCAGATTGTCGTATTTTTCACTCCAGTTCTCCTCATTCCTCCGAAGCTCCAGGTCCTTTTTGGTGAGAAGGTCCAGGGTTGCAATGTAAGCTCTTGTTCGCTCACGTCTCTTTTTGACTACTCTCCGCTGGACCTCTCCCATGACCTTGAGGTCTTCTTGAAGCCTGGAGACTTCAGAGGTTTTGTCGGCCAGCTGGTCTTCATAGGCCTTGGATGAGTTCAGGTGTTTTCCGGCAGCCTTTTGGACCAGCTCATCTTTCAGCCTCAGTTCTTCTTTGATGTTGCTCAACTCTGAATCTTTTTGTTCCAGCAGGTCAATCATGTCTTGATGAGCCCATTTTGAATCCTGCTCCCTTATCTGGGCTCTTCTAAGCAGGTCATCCTTCTGGCTTAGCACTTCTTGGAGTTTTCGAACCTCCGTTTCCTTTGCAGAAAGTTGCTCGACATGGACCTTGATCATGGACTTCTCCTTTTGACCAGCGGTTTCCAGGAAGTCGGTCTTGATCTTGAGCTGCTCTTGTAGGTCAGCTACTTTGGCCTCGCTTTGGGCCAGCAGGTCCAAGGTCTTCATGTTTTCCTTCTCTCTGTCCTGCTCCATTTGACTCGTTTTAATGAGGAGGTCATCTTTTCTTCTCAGCTCCTCTTGTAGCTTTGTCAGCTCTCTTTCTCTCTGTGTGAGCAGGTCCAGGGTGTTCTCGTGAACCTGGCTCATGTCCACCTGTTCTTTTTCCATTTCAGCCTGTTTGCTCTCTTGTTTGCTGATGGACTCTTTCAATGCTCTGTTTTGCTCCTTTAGAGTCTTGAGCTCAGCAATGGTGGAGCAGAGAGTTTCTCTAAGTCTCTGAGCGACTTGAGCGTCACTGAGCTGATGGTGTGGTCGCTGCAGCTGAACATTAGTGGGAGCGTTCAGGGTGTTCACTGCTGCCACATATGTGACTGGCACATAGGGCTGAGAGAGAGAAAATACAAAACTTTGTCGACATGGATACATAACAATTGTAGTTGTTTAGAAAAAGAGTTCAGTGAGAAAGTCTTACCAGGTTTCCTGCAGGAAATATCATGTACATATTTGTACGATGATTTAACAATTTCAAACAAAATCAAAGTGTCAGAGTAATCCTCTGATTACTGAGACAAAAAAAAGTTATCTTCAGGTTATTCAGGCAAAAAATGATCACACTAAACAATTGTTGTCTTATATCTACAGATTAGATTGATTCGAAAAGATGGTTGTCAAAGTTGTCGATAAATGCTGATAATATTCTTCCAGTGCTCAAAGATGTTGCTGTTCGGGTCGATGGTCTGAGTTGATTTGATCATTCACTCCAGGTTTGAGGTTTAAAAAGCCACGGATACAGAATGTTGGTTACTATGGAGGCAGTGTCCCACCTGCATTTTCTCGATATCATTCAAAAACAGTACTTTTAATGTCAAGTTAAAACTGCTTCAATTGTATGAACAATCAGTGTTGCTATCACCAAAGACGTTCACAGAACAAATCACATTTATTTCACAAAATCACATTACATGATAGTATGATTATTCTTCAAAGATTAAACTGTTTATACACTTTTTTTTTTTTTTTAAACAATTCAATGTATTAAATCGACATGCAGTTATATCACAGTTAAATAATGACAGAGTGTTGATCAAACAGTTCCTCTGTTTTTTGGGTCTCACTGAGTGGGTGAGGCCTTCAGGTTGTTGCAGACAGAAACTTACAGAGCTGCTAAAGGAGCTGTTGATCCTTCACCCAGAAGGACTGTTAGCTTCTCCTCAGGTGGTAAAGTTGAGAAAATTGGGTTATTGATATTTACCTTTGGCATTACAACACTATAGTAAGAGATAACCTTAGCCTAGAGTTTACATGAGATAAACACAGTCTTATTTATTACCCAGAAACCAAGTACTCACACGGCAACTGATTCTTATTAGCCGACGTGAAAACCTCATATTTTCAGAGTTAAAACACCTGTGTTTTTCTGTTGGCTTTTTAACTACCAATGAGCAAGAAAGTAAATGAATAGAGAAAAAAAATAGATTTAGTAACATAGGAGGTAGAGTGGTCATCAAATAACTGGAAGGTTGGCGGTTCAATTCCCCCCTATCCCCAGATAGTCTGCTGTGTCCTTGGGCAAGACACTTAACCCACCTTGCCCACCTATCGTAATTTCGCGTCGTAAATTTCCGTCGTTCCCGGTGTGTAAGGACCTTTAGGTGTTACTAGATCTGTGAGAAACAGTTAAAGAAACATCAAACCAACCAACAAATGTAATTGCACTTAATGCAAAGTTAGTATCTTATAAAGGGAGATGCAGTATGTACTGTAATAAAAGAAAACTTGATAAACAATCTGATAGTAAAGTAGTAATCGTAAAAATACTAATGGAGATGATAGTAGTAGTCGTCACAGCTGTGTGTCGTTCAGCATGTTTGTTCACTTCTTCTTGGTGAGTTACACGGCGCATTTTGAAATCAGTTGTCGACAAACAAGCTGTTGGCTTGAAGGTGCCCCAGCCAGTAACACTGGAGTGGACTGAACCGGCGTACAGGGATGGATGAGCCAATGACATTAATGATTCATAGTCAGGGTCTGGCTGCTGCTGTGGGTTCCTGGCAGAGCGCCTGGTGTCCCTCCAGACCGGCTAAACAATGATGTCATGCTTTAGAGTATTGATTAAAACTCTCTCTTCTAACACATCAGTCCGTCTCTCCCTCTTACTCTATTGTTTCTGTTTTTCTCCCCCCCCTCACCCTCACTCCCCTCCCCCCAAACACTGACCTCATCAAACCCATCATCAGAAACCAGATGCGGCCACTAAAACAATAAAGCTCTCATCCAGCCAGTCATAAAACACATCATAATCAGATGATCCATGCTAGGATCAATAATTTCCAGTTAGACTCGGTACCCTAGGAGGCAGTTTTGGATGCTGCAACCACAGGATGCAGGGGAGTGGGGGTGGGGGGTTGATGCTGGCTGAGAGTTGGGTTACATTTAAAGTGCGCCAGTGGATCGATAGCTTGTGGAGGCCCTGGCATACAGTCAGAGTTATAGACTGGTCTCAAGTGGGGTCTGGAGCATACAGGCCTGCTCTACAAAAACAACAGATTAGATTTTACTCTGAAAAGCAATTACAGTCATTACCAATTATGCTAGTGAAAGGCTTGTAAGATACAAAAAAAAATACACCTGCAAAAAGAGAAAAAACAAACAAACAAACAAAAACATCAAGATAGAATGAAGTGAATGAAGACATCTTGATAGTTCACATTCGTTTATCAGTCCTAATCTTCCCTTTTTGATTTGTTTTCCAAATGTTGAGTAGATGGGATATTAACGTTTATGTCAACCCTTCTCAATCGATCTAATCTTATTGATTTTTAAGTAATTTGATGTCCTGACTTTTTTTTTTCTTCTACAAAACATTGTTTTACATTTAAAGCCTATGAAAAGGACTTTTAATGTGTTTGTTTGGAAAAAAGCAGTCTTTGCTGATCTTTTCTTTCACATGATGAAGTAGTTTTTGACCATAGACTGTTAATAGATTGGATGCCGTCTGCCTCCTTGTTGGGTGAAGCAACCACGAGAACAGCACCCTCTGGTGACGGGCTGCAGTATAAATCCCGCCTCCTCCAGCAATCCCTATGGAGCTGTGGCCAACTTTAGTAATTAATTACACAGAATATAAATTTTTCTCCCCCCCAGTTGTGATGTTGACATGTAGTTACTGTAAGACGGGTTTGTGCTCAAGTCCTCTTTTTTCTGTGTTATTAGGGGGTTCATGTTTTCTATGATTGACACTTGATACAGCCTATGGACGTACGAAGATTGCATAGCTCACCCAGGGGATAAGCTGTTTGAGCTGAGCGTGGAGAAAAAACCCAGAAATACAGGGAGCAATTTGGCTTCAAATTCGTATAATGATGGAAGGCAGAGCCAAGTTGTCCACAGTATAGACAGTCTATTATTGACAGATAAGAAATCTGATTCTGAAAGTAAATGTGTATTTTGTTGTTAATATTTTAAGTGAAACTTGCAGAGCTGTTTCTTTAGGCCTTTGGCGGACATACCAATATGAGTCATTAAAAAATTACAGTTTAAAAATTGTCATTCTTGTTTATAATGGTCTGATCTGCAGAGAAAGAAATAATAACCGTAATGAACTCAAATGAAGTCAGGGTAACCTTCGTTCTTGATGAATGCACATGCTCAGGTTTAATATAAAGAGAGAAAATTAAGGGTGATTTTTTCCATTCCTTCCATGACAGCAGGGTTGACCATGAGTCGAACAGAAAGAAAGAAAAAAAGAAAAGAAATAATTAAAATAGAAACTGCATTATGCTGGCTCTGTGTTTTTTCTTCCAGATGGACTATCGCCTCAGGAGAAACTTGTGCCTCCATGCTGTGACTGTTTCCCTCGTGATTTAACCCCCAAATAAACACACACACACACTCACACACACACACTCTCCCTAACCAAAGCCTCATCTAAATTTGTTGACGTCAGCTGCCACTATTACTGAAAAAATACATGGTTAGTTTTTTTTGTAAGCCACTGTGGAGGCCTCACAGTTCTGGTTATACATGGAGAAGAACTCAGTCACGTTTATTTAGTCCAAGGCTCACAATGCAGTTTTTATTTTTCAGTTCTCCAGACTCTTATAACGGGCAGAAGGTTGGGATCATTGTCCTTTTTCTTAAGACATGCTCTGACTGTCCTTGGACTGCTGTACATCTTGAGTTATGGTCATTGTGTGTATCAACTCAATCAATCGAAAAAGGCTCTGAAACTAAACATACTGTACACTGAAGACAAAGTTAAAATTCTTCTTCTCCCTCCATCCATAATCTAAAAAATGATTATTCTGATTTGAGAAAGAAAACACAAGTCAGCCTTAAATACTTTCTATATTCTTTACTCCTTTGCTCTTTTATAGGCTCATTACACTTATTAAATGAGTCAGAGCATGCTCAGGTGTTGGGATCGGTCACTGTTTTCTTTCTGATCAAATAAGATTGTATCAAGTAGGTCTGGGTGATGTGGCTTCAAATCAATATCACAATATATTGAGCAGTTCACCTCGATAACAATAAATGGACGATAACTACTCCACAAGCTGCTCACCCCCTCCCACATTAACACTGTCTACCTCAGCCGCCGCTCCAGCTACTACAACTTTTGAACTGTCCTCCATCTCCTCACCTGTCTTTACCTCTTTGTTATGGACTGGATGCGGCGTAATTAGTGACAACGAATATATTGACATGGGCAAAATGACATCAGTTATTGACGTACATTTCGGTATCTGTAAATTTTCAGTTTATTGCCCAGCCCAAGAATCAACTTTGCTAACATTAGGATACCATGTCAATAAGTGCCATCAGCATTAATCTAAAGGGGCTGATATGGGGTTGGACAAGTGGCTCTTTCATGAATCTATGAAACAAATGCCAAAGTGTTAACTCAATGTTCCGCCTTCAGCTTTGCAGATTTCCCATCATAGCCAACAGTTTTTGTCTTTACTCCTCCTGTCTTTGCTTAAATGTTTCCACCAATGTAGTACATATTTACTAGATGTCTTTCCAGATGATTTCAGTTAGTTAGCTGGTCTTGGATTAGACCTGCAATCATAGTAACACTGTACTGTTGGGTAGGCAGGCCATCACACTGCAATATGGACCAATAACAACTGAGTATGCAGCACAGCTGTGTAGTAATCCAATGAAAGAGGCCTGGCATTATGGATTTATATTCATGAGGCAATCTTAGGTCTGAACTTTTATTAGTTACCATGGTTACAATGTCAGATGAGGCAATCACAGAGCGATGAATTTGTGCGGTGTCTTGTCCAACGGACATGACAGATGTCAGGGTGGCAGTCATCGCCACCACTGTGACCCAATCTGACCCAACGTGACCCAACATAGTCCGTCAATGACACACTGAAAAACCAGGGATGTTGTAACCAGAGCTTGTCAAACTTCTCTGACTACTCAGTGTTGCAGCATCAACTTCATGCTACTTTTGCTTTGCCTTACTTTTGTCTGATTAGGATTGTGACTTTTGTGCAACGCTCTCTGTGCTCTCATTGGTCAACATCACTGATGTCACAGAACCAATCAAAGAAGGCAGAGAGAAACTGATGGACTTATTTTCTTATTGGAAATCCTGGGGCGCAGCAGACATGTCCTTGATTGTCTTAAAGTGACAGACCGCTCGAGATTAAAACCCACATTTTTGATCTGATGGGACACCATTATCAGGCTAAATGCCTCACGGTTGGAGGACAGAGAATTTTTTTCTCTAGTCATATTGATGAGTGAAATTGATGACCATCCTCAAAAAGCCCTGCTATTATCTTCGTTTCTCTCAAGAGATGCGTATCCAGTTGTGACAGCAGCAACACTGCCCCCACGGTTGCTGATGGTACTGCTTCGTCTGGCCTGTATCCGTAAACTTCAAGATATGTGCAGAAATACAGATGGAAAAAACGCAAAGCACAGACGGAGAGCTCTGTTCGTATTCAGATCCGTATGTGATGTTGAGCATAAATGAGCCTTAATACAACAAACATATAAACATACTAACTACTGGCATCTCAAACTTGCAAAGACTTTCACTTTTTAGACTTTTAATCCTCAAAGGCAGGATGTTTTTTTTCCTGTTTTTCTCCTCTGTTTTGATACCATGGCCACTGTTACTTCCAGGGTACTGACAAGAGAGTGTGCTCCACAGAGCAGAACCAATCATGTGACTTTTTATGCATCACTGTGTTTCACTCAGGATGTTTGGACACAGCCAGCGATTCTGCTCGACTACAGTTGTGTGCTCGGCGTACACAATGGGAGTCAGACACACACACACACACAGACATTGCCCCACGTTTGCCTGACTGAGCTGCACTGCCGAGCTCCATTCATAGTTAATCAATGGAGAGGAAGTGTTAATTCTAATCATCCTTTCGCCTTCTGTCTTGTGTCGCTACCTCTCCTTCCTTCCTTTTTTTCTTCTCTGCCTCTCTCATATAGTTTTCATGTTACTTCATAATGCCTCACTTGATCTCGTCAGCTCCACTTTTGCCTTGATCCCTGAAGTTCTCCTCCCCCCTCTCCTCCCGCCCAGTCTTGCCTGTAGTTGAATGATGTATCAAACGGTAGCTCGCTGCTGAATGAAAGGATTTGCTAACGCTCTTCTTCTCCTCAGCACTCCCTCTCTCTCTCTCTCACTCTCTCTCTCTCACACACAGACACAAACTCAAACCATCCAGCACTGAGTGATGTGCAGGAGGGGGATCAAAGGGAGCGCTAATTCCTCAGTGCTCAAGATGTACACACACATATGCATGTGCGCATACACACACACACTGAGCTGAGAGCTGTTCATTCATTAATGGAGTCACATGCTGCACATCTCAGTTTCACACATCACTGGCCTTTAGTTAGTGAAAGACGACTCAGATAGAAGGAGAAAGTGCGCAGGCTTGTCTGCATATATGCATGTCTGTGAAGTCTGTTACCTTTCGTTTTCATGAATGATTTTGTCCACTCATACAAAAAAAAAGTGCGTATTTGGTTACAAGTATGTGCCAGTGAAGCATGTTCACTCTCATGCATGGAGAGACGCATTAGCATGCGCATGAATGCAGGCGTAATTGTGCGTGCGTGCTCCTGTGCATTGTTGTGTGAGTGGCTGCTCTCCGCCGCCTGCTCGCTTGGATCTGCTGTCACATGTCCTCTGCTCAGGAACACACGAGGCAGCAGCAGTGCAGAGGAAAATCATCGCATCTCTCACATTGTCAGGATTTTCTTAACTTCTCCACCTGCACGTGAGAAGAAAATTTGGGTGGGGAGTGGGAGCTCGTGTTTATCAGATTTGCCACAATCGTCTCTGGCTTCAAAGCTGCCATGTTATCAGAGAGGTTGATGGTTTATGAAATGACTATTGTGAAATATTTAACATTTCACACACTCGTGCAGGATTATCCATCATCGCAGCTAAGATTCCTGCAGATGCATCATCCCTCCCACTCCCACTCTGCTCCCATGGACATCGAATCCCCCCACCCCACTGCACCGGAGTTTCCTTTTGGAAATCTGAGTACCTCACCCTGGAAGAAAATATCACACATGCAGCCTCTGTGGATTAAACTTGAAGCTGTGGGACTAAATAATGGGATAAAAATGTGATGGATCAGTCCCTGTTTCTCTGATAGTTTGTTCTGTTGTCATGGCAGCAGATAGAAAACAGATGCTTGGTGGTTTGATTTCCAAGAAGTGGAGATAAAGTTACTGTTTACAGATCAGATCTGGATACGGGCTGTTCATTTATTTAGTTATTGGTATTTAAACTTAGATTTAGGTTATATTAAAATAATGCAGAGTTAATCATCTGCATTAAATCTACTATATGGTTATCTTTTTCCTATAGGCTAGGGTGACCATACGTCCTCTTTTACTCGGACATGTCCTCTTTTTTGGGGGTTTGTCCAGCCTGTCTGGGCTTGTCCAGGGGAGTTTATAGAATCCTTTAAATGTCAAGGGTTTTCAATGGAAGTTTTGAGTTTGTGTCGCGTGGACTCACTGAGTTAGAAGAGTGTAAAAAACACTCGATCCAACCTGAATCCAACCTCTCAAAATTAACTATGAGCAACTCTGTGACTCCAACTCAGGTCTTGAGTTGTTTTGACGATTATAACTCAGGATTTAAGAGCATTTTGTAGTTTAGAAATCCTTTTTTTTCTGATGTGACCCTACAATAATGAACCAAGCTGCCAGTTGACTCAGCCACACCTGAGAGTATGCAAATTTATGTTCAACTCTTAGCCTTTGTGTTGTCTTGTTAGATTTGTGCTGAAACACAACTCGTCCCCTGTTAGGTTACATAAAAATAAATAAGACAAATTCTTGTTACTTTTTAAAACTTGGCTGTAAGCATATGTTGGCTTTTTTGTTTTCTGATGAAAAGTTGGACATTTTAGGACATGATGGGGATCTTGGCTTTAGGAGTCGGCCCTCAGGGACTGAGGAGATGCAGATTTTCGCAACCCTCTTTGTGCAACGACAGTCCAATAATGGTGGCTGCAGCGTGTTAGAAACACAGAGATAAATCCAAAATAAATAGTGATTCTCTGTCTAATGTACTTATGTACCCGACCGGTTTTATGGACACTGAGTTAACCTGTCTCAAATCTCATTACTTTGAATCATACATTTGAATAACTAATGGAATTTATGGCCATGACTACGAAAGTAAGAGCACATCTTTTCTACAAAAAATGAAATTTTTGTTTTTCTGCAAGGATCTTGGAAATATTTTGACTGATGGCTGAAGTAATTTTTCTTTCATTGTATTTTAAACAAAATCAATTAGTTGCTGCAAAAACACAGAGCTGTGCAGACATATTATCTAAAAGCCCCATGTGTTGAAAATGCGCTCCAACATTAAGGACAAATCTTGAGGGAGACAGAACATCTGAGCATCAGAGCACGTTTTCTTAAAGATGTAGAGCTGACCTTAAAGTCCCTCCACAAGAAAAAAACCTCCAACAGAGATTCAGCTCTCTGTTTTTTTTTTACCAACGTGTTTAATCAACACCTTTGTCTTACAGAAACTGTATATGTGTGATTAACTAGATACGAGACCTACTTTTTCCTCATCACACAGACAGCAGCGGGGCTCCAGCTGGAAACACAGATCTCCCTCTGCAAAGTGTGTGTGTGTGTGTGTGTGTGCGCGCACATATACGGGCGAACTCCTGAAGAGCTTTCACTGTAATTACACACACCTTAGACATCAGACTAATTCTGGTTATGAATAAAACAAGAGAGCAGGGAGAAAGAGGGAGGGAAGAATCAGCCGGAAACAGTTCCGGTGCAAATGTGTCTCAAACTGTTAAATTTAGCATCACTGTGAGCCAATCCTGGAAGCTATTCTAGTTCCTGTAATTTATCCATATGACTACTTAACAATGCTAAATGAGATAGGCGCTAATTATCCGACATGTTGGTACTATGCTGTAAAAAAATGAGTATAGTCAGTGTTATTAACCAAAGAGAATGAGGAAGAAGTGTCAACCTTACCTCAAATATCTCTCCCCAAAGATGCCAAATATACTGGTTCAAAATGTCCTTTATTCACAGTTCTCAAGGTGTCAGATGCATGAGCTTGTTTGCTGAAGAAAAAGTGAAATCCAAGGTTTGCTGAAACTGCCAGTTTTTGTAGTTTTAAAAGATCTCACAAAGCAAAACTGGAAAAGTTTTACACAAGTCCGATCATCAGTACACATTTTTTTACACGTCGATTGCATGACAAGAACGGGAAGACATTAAAAAATGAAAATTGCAATGTGAAAGAAAGTTTAACCCATTCAAGTGAAGTATTGATTGATAATGTGCAAGTCTGGCACAGTGGGCATACTAAAGATAGAGTAGCTATGGGTTAACATACTGTTTGGACAAATCATTATGTTAATTACAGGAATCCTGTTTAAGATAAACTAGGGATGCACGATATTTATCGGACCGATAAAATATCGGCTGATTTGGGGGGAAATTACGTCATTTTTTATCGGTCCGATAGGTGCATTTTTCCGATAGAAAGATCCGATATATTAATGAAATTACGAGTAACGTTTGCAGGCGGAGTAGCCGCCCGCCCGAGACGCGCTGGTTAAGTCATCTATCGCGCCTTACTCGCAGGTCCCAAGCCTGACCCCGTCACTACCTGACAGATAATAAAATGTCTTCACCAGCATGGTCGTTTCTCTCAGTGGCAGAAGATGACAACAGCATTGCTATATGCAAAACCTGTTCAGCGAGGATTCCGAGAGGAGGAAAGAAGACGTCAAGTTTTAACACAACGAATCTGATAGCTCATCTGAAAAGTCGCCATTGCGTCGAAGCGGTATTAAAGGAATATGAGACAGCCGCTGAAGCTGCTAGCGGTACTAAAGCTAAGACAACAACACTATGGAGGATCGATGTCCCCATTCAGCAGGCGTTTAAAAACTGCAAAAGCTTCTCAAGAGACAGCGAAAAGGCTAAAGCCATTAACGACAAAGTGATGGAGTTCATAGCGGTCGACGACCAGCCTTTTTCCGTCGTTGAGAACCCGGGTTTTCGTAAGTTAATAGCACACTTGGAGCCACATTACACTCTCCCAAGCCGCCGCTTCTTCTCGGATGTGTCTCTTCCTGCACTCTATGATATTGTCGCCACATACATTCACAACCTGATCGACAAGAACGGACTACACGTGAGTTTTACCACAGACATATGGACGTCAGATGTTAGTCTGGTCAGCATGCTAAGCCTAACGGCTCATAATGGCTCCTTTACAGTTTACAGTTCTGTTGAACAGTTCAGGGGATCAAATGAAGTTCTGCTTTTTGCTCTGTTATTGTTATTTATAGCAAATGACCACATTTGAAGAGCCAAAAACTTTTGTTTGTTGTTCTAGATGGGCCAGAGCAACAAAAACATCAGTTTTCAATCGCTGCATCCTGCACAAACTGCAGATTATATGAAGATTATAATAAATGTAAAAATATGAATTTATCGGTTATCGGTATCGGTATCGGCCATGAGAAGAAGAAAATTATCGGTTATCGGTATCGGTTGAAATTTTTCATATCGTGCATCACTAAGATAAACTCATTGATCCCGTGTCGAATAGGGAGGATAAGTAGTCAGAGAAAAAAAGAACATTAAATCCATCTAAAAGTGAAAAATATTCATGAAAGGATGTGGGGGGAGAAGTTGCAAATAAATTCTTCACTTATACATGCACTTGAAGAAGTAAAATAGATGTGGGAAAGTGTCATCTGTTTGCATGTAGATTAAAATACGGCTTGTAAACTAGGATTAACACTGGTACAGTGGTGCTTCACTTACCCTAAAGGCTCATTTATGCTCGCTGTTTGTATGAAAATGTACGCGTCCCAAATACATCCATGCGTCCTTTACGTTGGCATGGATGTTAACCATTACATCCACCAGGGGGCAGGCCAGAGTCAAAAGTTTCTGACAACAACAAACAAAAAGTAACATGGGGACTGTGGATTTTCTCCTTTGCGTCCGACCAGCTAACATTTATCTCCCTCCCAATTTCCTCCCAGCTGTTCTGGAGTTTATTTTTATCCCAGTGTCTTGGACAAGTTACATCATGTATATGTTTGTAATTGCGTACCTGCTCACAAAACCTTTCTTCAAAAAGCCCCACCATTGTCTTCTTCGTTTCTCTCTAGAGATGCGTATCGGGTAGTGACAGCAGCAACACTGCCCCCATGGTTTCTGGTGGTACTGCTCCGTCTGGCCTGTATCTGTAAACTTCAAGAATATGTGCAGAAATACAGACAAAATGAACGTGAAGCACGAATGAAGCTCTCCATATGTAACATTGAGCATAAATAAGCCTTTAAGAGTGCACTTCTCATAACATCTGCTGCTTTTTATTTTGTTGTCAGGTGACATGAAGTCTTCTGTAAATCTGATCTCTGATTCTCTGATGCAAAAACTTAAAATTATGAGCATTTGATAAGAGTAAAACATTTAAAATGAAAGATTTAAACACTCCCCGAACGGCCTCACTTTTCCAACAGCAGCAAAAAACTGGTAAATCTTCATTTTACTGGCTCTGTGAAACAACATGGATGAGGTAACATCTGTTGGTGGCCTGAAAGCCATGATAAATTTGATTAGTCTGCAAAGTGGTTCGAAAAAATTAATTACAAAATGGGCCTGTGCTCGAGCCCACTGTGAAAGGGTTTGATAACCTCAAGTACAGGGCAGAACACCGAGTGAGACTGGTGAGTGTTTTTGTGCAAGCCTGAAGAAAAGAAACAGGATAATAATCAGAACAAAGCCAGTGCCAAACAAACCCATCAATATACATGACTCAACTCTCTAAGGAGCCCGTCCTTGTTTGAGGCACTGTTTCTTTTTAGATTGCATACTGTATCTCCTCATAGCTCCATCAAATGATACTGAAGGTCGAAAAACACACCCAGGGAGGGCCGTCAATGGACTTCTGGAAAAGCATCACGTAACAGTCCTTTCATAAGTTGTTTTTTAGGGCAAAAACATACAATACACAAAGCAAAAGCATGGTTTGTCTTACTCTTTCTTTGGCTTTTAAAGACCCACTACAATGGAAATC